TGTCTGTCTGTCTGTCTGCGTGTGTCTGTGTGTGTGTCGGTCGGTCAGTCCGTCGGTTCGTCGGTCCGTCGGTCGGTCGGTCGGTCGGTCGGTGTCGGTGTGGGCACCATCCCAGGATGGGATGCAGTGGGGCAGCGGCCTTCAAGCAAAAACTGCCCCACGACGGTTTGTTTGATCAAACGCTGAGCTGGCAAAACTATGCGTTTTTCCTTGTTCCAACATGCACGGCTGCGGCTGCAGCAGTTTGACCGGCATGCTTAACAACACGTGCAAGTATTTGTGCATCCCGAGGTTCAACGTCTAGGAGTCTAGGCTCTATTTCGCTTCGGGGCTGTAAAGCTGTTTTCCGGCATATTGTTCGAAGCCGACCCGAAACCCCGAACCCTTAACCGACTCAAAGGCGGAGCTGCGCATTCGAGCTTTGGGCTTCTTGCAAATCGGGCTGCGTCCGAGACTCAGGCTGGGATGCAGTCTCTGGCGCTAAAGCCGCTTAAAAGCATTGATCGCCGTTCTACAGTCTGTGATGCTGACGCGTTGTCCTTCCTCTTGGTTTCTCGTTTTCGGTCGCTGTCGACGATCCTGCTGCCATTCAGAGCCAGCTTTGACGAAACGACGGCAATTAAGCAAGATGCTGCCCCGCAACGGTGGGAGCAGGATCCCGGAAGCAGCTCTGGCCGCTGCTTATCAACTTGCTGAAATGTATGGTTCCGCTGAATCCGGCGGCGACCCTTCAGCGCAGAAGGAAGATGTCCTCTAGCTGCCCTTGAGTGTATCAGAAGTTCACTCAAGTCTACGAAGAGGACTGGGCCTACGCCTTCGTTCCAACCCCTCAGGCCCAATGCGAAGGCAAAGGCCTGGGCGTCGAGGGCCCGCGGTGGCTCTCCTTCCAGGAAGGGAAGTTGGCGCCGGTGAATCACCTGCGGCGGGGCTTAGGGCTTAGGGCTTGAGATGGTTGAGGGTTTGAGGGTGTGAGGGCCGAGGTCTCAGGGTCCTTCAGCTCTTCCGTGAGCCATCTAAGGGCTTAGGTAAGCTTCTCACTCGGGAACTTGTGCACAGCCGCGGTGCGATCAAGCTCGTCAAAACCCTCCGTGCGCGGCCTCCTCGTCGTGGCCTCGGTCGTTGATGGCCCAGTTTATTGCCATGGACACCGCCACGCTGAGCATAACGATGGGGGCAAGGCCTGAAAGTGCTGGATGTCAGCTTTCCGAGTGCTACAGTACACCGTTGAGAAGTGGGAGCCTGATGTTGGCTTCGGGCCCTGGAGGACTACCGGACCTTTCTGCCTGAGGTTCAAACATGAACAGGGCTGCCTCGGCACAGGAACTCCGTTCGAGAAACCCAAGGCACAAGGGCCTAGCCTAAGCGGGGGTCTCTGGAAGTGCTTCTTGCAGCCACGCCGGCTCAAGTCATTGACGCACTCCACAACAATCAGAACCTGGCCAGGAAACCAGTGACAGTTAGAAAATACATACTCAAAAGCATTAACCGTACCGTGGTGATAAGGATCGTAGTCCTTCCGGATCTTTCTGCCATGCTTGTAGTTCTCATCAATGCTGTCCACGACAGCAAATTACCGGCATCATCGACTGCGCTGATATGAGTCTCTGTTTTGCTGCTCCTGTGGGGATCCTTGACAACGGGGCAATATTTCTGCCCCTCCTGTGCTAGAGATTCTGTTGTGCTTGTTTGCTTTACTTCCCTTTATTGTGGTTGTGATATGTTCATCCCGTTGCTCAGTGAATGATCTAGACAAAGTACACCAGCTGGAGTAAATAACTTGTACACGATGTGATTGGAAACAGAAGCATTAACAGAGAAAACCATGTTCCGAAAGTCCGCATTTGCCAAGATCCATTTCAGCCTCCTGCGATACTAGCAGCTAGCACCCGTGGCAAGCCCCCGACCGAGGCCAGCGTCATCTGCTTGAAGCCACACAACATTGCGGCCTCAGCCGGCTGCCGTCTTGAGTTGACAGTCCAGAGCCGTGGATCGGTACACAGCCTCTTTTGCTACGGAAAGCAACCTGAGACATGGTTTTGCCACGCCTGCGACTAGAAGCGAATGCATTCGCACAAGGGGAACCTTGTAGGCGAAGGTCTGGAAAAAAGGCATTATCCTTGTACAGGGAACAAGCAATTGCCAAGGCTGCCTGTCAGGCGGTGCCGGGAAGTGTGTTTTACATGGAGATACATGGATTATTCTGTGCCACCTGGCTGTGAAAAACAGTTTTCCTGGTTGATCGCTCCATGGACATGAGCTCACGCAACGTGTCGGAACTGCTCACCATGGACAGCAACGGGAAGAAAGAGAAAGCTACATGGCGGAGCTTGTGGCCCCACTTCTCGTCGCCCTCGACCATGCAGGCTATGCAGACCGCAATGGCACCTATACCCGCAGACAGCAGCTTAGCAAAGATCAGAATAGTCTTCCGCCAATGCTGCAACCTTCGGTAAGTGAAGCAGATTGTTTGCAAGAACCATGAAGCGGTTCAGAGCACTCTCGGATGCTCCATTGCAGCTTCCGAAAGCACGAGCATCTGCTCAGATTTCGCAGTTAGATCCGGTAGACGCACTTGCTGAATTGAGCTGCATCTGCCGACTACAAGCGGTGAGTTCTGCTGTGGGCTTATAACTACAGAACCCCATCGTGAGCCGAACTCCACGTCCGGGTCAGACTGCTGCTCTTCACCCCTCATGCTCGCTGCAGCCTCTGAAACTCTTCGCAACGGCAAGCTGCCATCGCTCGCGTGCCCAGCAGCATCGGTGGCAAGGAGCAAGGACAATCTTTTGGTACGTGTACCAGCGCTGCCTTCTCGTTGGCCGCTGGGACCACGGGTCACAGGACAAACTTCTCCTCAGCCTTTCTGTCTCGCTTCACGCGCTGATTCACATGCATCCTCAAGGCTTATCATCCTGCAATCTTGAACACCGCCCTCTCAGACTTAGACCCTCGGCCGTTCTTCAACTATAGCGCATAGTGCGATTTCTCCTGAAGCAAACCCCTCAACCTGCGATCGCTGCCCTCTGTGAAGAATTTCCGGCATGCTCTTCCTGTAGCTGGGTCTCTGGCACTTCCGACGACAGCGAAGACCCCTGCAAATTTGTAGGGGTCTTGCAGTTTAGGCGTCCAACAACTGTTCTTGGAGCTTCGATGCTTCGGCGATCTGACTTCCGAAGCAGCCGGATCCCGGAGCGAGCGTGAAAACTGGAGAAAGACAGGATGCCTCATCTCAGCCTACATAACTCAAACCATGCACTTTGACCGCTTGTGCCACAGAAAGCTCCACACCGCTGCAGATGACACTGCTTACCTCCCCCATCGTTCAAAAGAGCATCAGTGTTCAGCAGCATCGCACTCATTGGTGATGTCCTCCTCCCGTTCCTCATCCTCCTGGTCCTGCTCCTGCTTCTCCTCATGTCGTCGACGTCCGGGTCCGGGGCAGCAGGAGCGGCAGCAAAGCTTGTAGTTCTGCAGTGCTACCGACGGTGACGACGACCACGACGGCATGGGCGGGAAAATGTCTTCATGATTACTGAAGCTGCTACAGGCAGTACCAGTGCCTGGCCTGAAACTGACGCCGACAGTCCCAGGTCTCCACAAAGAGAACCGGCGAAGCGACCGAAGAGCCCGCCCATGAGCATGGTAGCCTCGTTTGGGCCGGGTTCGAAAGACACTGACATCATTAACATTGTGTTTGCCACAGGGGTCATCACCATCCGGAACATCATCACCATTGCATCCTCCACCACTACCACCAACATCACAACTGTCAGAGCATGGTTACTGCCACCTCGTCAACATCACCATATCCACGCGCCTACCATCACCACGAGTCCTACTGATTCCTACAATCCAGAAACACCCACACTATCAATATTCCTATGGGGAGGTGCTGCGGTCCGTGCTTGACGATCCGACTTGGATTTGGGATTCGGAATCTAAAAATGCTTCCAACTCGAGTTGTGGAAGCTCTCGTCGTGCCTGGCGAGTGCTCCGTCCGAGGGGGACCACGGCTAATGCGCCAAGCATATCAGCATATCCACGTGAAGCAAGATGCACTTGCCGTGCTGACGTCGACGAGCGATACTTGTGAGTCGAAGGTCCCGTGCTCCAGTGTCATGCTCTGCGAGCTCCGCCACTGCATGGGCTGATACAACAGAGGTCTTGACATCCCGCCGACTGTTGGTGCCAAAGGAACGTCTCTTCTCGCATACTTCGGAAAGCACATGATTCGGGACGTTGCCGACTGCGACACGGCCTCAATAACAAGCGACTTACGGGAGATTGTGGTCGCGAGGTTGACTCGGCCGTTCGTAGGCGAGATCATGCCCTGGAGGCTCATGGGAACGGCGACAAGACGAATCTTTCTTCTTAACCGTGGGAGGCGCATACACTCGTTCCACTCAGATTCGGCGCTGTCCTGACGCAGCGTATCCTCACGCCACCTCCTTCAGCAATCGCTGGTCCATCGCGGCCAGCGACGTTTTCATTGAACTGCAGCGAGTGATGATGACAGTGTTGATGATGACGATGATGAAGATGATCGTGAAGAAGAAGAAGAAAATGCTAATGGTGTTGGTGATGGCAACCAGTTAAGCATCAGGAATGGTAGAGATCGCAGCGTCAACAGAAGAACAGTTATGTGTAGACGATTCCACATGATCAAAAACCATGTGGTGGGCCGGCGATAACACTGCCGATGACGGCTCAGACCATGTTGTTGATGATGCGGATGATATATACTGCATTATCATCACTGGTACTTCCACCAGGTTCACAACCGTCAAACCACCAACACTTTCAACTGGCATCACCATCATCGTCATCACCATTACCATCATCATCACCGCCATGATCATCGTCGCTATCGGATTAGCACAGTTGTCGGACTGGCTCTAAGTTCTAACCGCATCATCCGCATCGCTCATCACCTTCATCATCATCATGACCATCCATATTGACAAGGCATCAGTATCAAGCTCAGTGCTCAAGTAAATGCAGAGTCAACCCGATCCGAAGGCATGCTACGGGCAGTTCAGTCTCTAAACCTGTGAAGGCTGATGTTGAACAAAAGTCACCGCATGAAAAGCTGTAGCCGTTCCAAACCCTTTCGGCTGTGGCTCACAGGCCGTGCTGGCGCAGGTGTCAAACCGAACCGTCACAGTACCCAGTGCCGAAGCGAGAGCCCAAATTCCCAGTAAACCCGAACACTGGAGCCGCAAGGGAAATTCACCCCGAGCCTGCAGAAAATAGCCAAAGCACTAAAGTCAACCTTCAAGCACTCTTGAAAACGCTACAACCGACTCCTCGCATGGTGCCTCACCCCGCGCCCAAAACCCGACCCACGAACAGTCCAGGCCACGGTAAAGGCTCCGCCGGGCACCGGAAGTCCTGCCAGCCCTGCGCCATGATGACACTTCTACGTTCTACTGGAATCAGCCATAACAAGCTACAAAGCGAAGGACCATCACAAGGAGACGGAGTCAACGACAACGAGGATTACCGCGGCCAGGAGGAGGAGTAGGAGGAGGAGGAGGAAGGTGGTGGCGACGGGGATTGTAGCGCTGGGGAGCAGCGGAAAGGTACTGCTGACGATGTGACTTATGGTGATGAAAGTCACGATGGCTGAGGACGAAGCCAGTGCAAAACAAAAAAGACGGTGGCAGAGGTAGCAACAGCAGTAGAAGTAGAAGTAGAGGAAGTAGTAGGTGGAAGTAGTAGCAGTAGTAGCAGTGGTAGTAGTAGTAGTAGTAGTAGTAGTAGACAGGTCGTAGACGGTAGTAGTAGACAGTAGCAGTAGACAGTAGTAGTAAAAGTAGTAGTAGTAGTCGT